AATCAAGCCGAAAAGTCTAACCCTGTTTTTGTGCGAATTGTTGCTTGTCACATCAATTCCATTTAGTGAAAATTGTGCGTTTTGTGTGTCTGTGTGCGTGATGATGTCAATCGTGAGATAAAAAAAATAGAGAGAATTTTTCTGTTTGCTGTTTTATTTTAATGATGGCATTCTGTCTTAAAGTTTCATTACTGTGTGGTACTAAAAAAGGAACCAGGTGAAAAAAGTCTAGTTGAGTAGAGCTGGGCCAAAAGGCAGTGGAAATGTGGCATTAGAGAAACATTTTCTATTTGAGGTCCTTAAAAGGTTCAGCCTCGGATCCAAATTTGTGTCGTGGATAGCACTGTTATACTCCTCACCCAAGGCTTCAGTGAGTACTAACGGGATAAACTCTCAATATTTTACACTAGGTAGAGGTACTCGCCAGGGTTGCCCTCTAAGCCCTTTACTATTCGCCATGGCAATCAAACCACTATCAATTGCGCTTAAATCTGCTAGCTTTACACAAGGAATTACCAGATATGGTTCAGAACACATACTCTCATTATACGCTGACGATTTACTATTGTTCATTTCTAACCCTATATCTACCATTCCTCAGATAATAGATCTGTTAACCCGATTCGGAACCTTCTCAGGGTACAAGCTAAACTTTTCCAAGAGTGAGTGCTTCCCTGTAAATGACCTGGCCCTTCAGATCCCTGATAGACTCATCACCTTCAAGATGTCTAGGAGTAATTTTAAGTACTTAGGCGTGAATATAAGTGGAAAACTCTCAGACCTTTACAAAGACAACGTCCCACCATTAATTGACAAGCTCAAACTTGATTTGGAAAGGTGGAATAATTTAAATTTAACTATCGCTGGGAGGGTAAACTGTATCAAAATGAACGTTCTCCCTCGCTTCCTGTACCTCTTTCAATGTCTGCCAGTCTTCCTACCCAAATCAATTTTTCGTAAAATAGACACACTAATCTCCTCTTTTGTATGGCAAGGGAAGACTCCTAGAATTAGGAAAGAGCTGTTACAAAGGCACAGATCTACAGGAGGATTGGCGCTTCCAAATATAAGACACTACTATTGGGCAGCCAATATCCACAAAATAATTTTATGGACTAAGGAACCAACATTGAGTTGGTGTGAGCTTGAAGCCAAATCCTGTCCTAATACCTCACTTTTGGCTTTGCTTACATCTACATTACCCAGCCGGCCAACTCAATATTCGAATAACCCGATTGTTGTTTCCACCCTAAGAATATGGTCCCAATTTAGAAAGGCTCATGGACTTGGTGGATCCTCTATACATAGTCCCATTCGCAACAACCATCTCTTTCTCCCCCCTCACACTGATGGGGCCTTCTCTATGTGGCAGAGATTAGGTCTTATCAGAGGGACCTTTACATTAACAATGTTTTCGGTAGCTTTAGCCAACTCTCTGACAAATGTTGTCTCCCAGGCTCTCATCGATTTCGCTACTTCCAGGTCCGTAACTGGGTTAAACTAAATAACCCTTCCTTCCCCAATATCCCTCCGGATTCAATAATTGACTCAATTCTGGACACTCTAACAACCGAAAAAGGTTTGATCTCAAGAATTTACAATTCCGTCTCCCGTCTCACAGAAACATCTCTTGGTAAAATCAAACAAGATTGGGAAGAGGAACTAGTCCAAGCAATAGATGATGAGATCTGGGATGGTGCATTAACGAGAGTGAACAATAGTACGTCCTGTGCCAGGCTCAATCTTATACACCTTAAAGTTGTCCACCAATTCTAAACTCTCCAAAATATATCCAAATGTCACGGATACCTGTAACAGATGCCACACGTCACCAGCAAACATGACTCATATGTTTTGGTCATGTCCTCGCCTACAAGGATACTGGACAAGCATTTTCAAACACCTCGCTGAGGCCTTGGACGTGGTATTGACACCATGTGCAGAAACTGCCATTTTCGGAGTACTACCTGGCCACAGAGTGATGAGGAGGAAAACTAAAGACAGTATAGCCTTTGCAACTATTTTAGCACGTAGAAGAATACTCCTAGAATGGAAATCTTCGATACCACCTAAAGCATCTCTATGGCTTAAAGATCTTATGATGTACCTGAACTTAGAGAAGATCAAATATAACCTGAGGGGCTCTTCAAAACTATTTGAATCTGTCTGGGGCTCTATGATAGCCTACATAGCTGAACTTAAGACATTCAATTAAGAAGAAAGGGGGGAACTATGAATGTATGTGTTTGTTTTGTTTTGTTTTTGTCTCCTTTTTTATTTTTATTTTTTATTTTTGTTGTTGTTGGTTTGTTTTGTTTATTTTGTTTTTTGCTTTGTCTCTGTCTTTATATACATGTATGTGTGCACGTGTATGTATGTGTATGTGTATGTGTATATGTGTGTAGGTATGTACATATAGATATGTGTAGTGCATACAGTATGTGGGTATACATATGTGAGTATATGGGTACATGTATTATGGCTATTATTCTTTATTTCCGTATCTATTAATGAATCTTCTTTTAATATTATCTTTTACATTACTGTATTTTTACCTATATATGTATCTATTTACTTAGTTATTTACTGTACTAGCTACTGTAGGGAGGGGAGGGGGGGAAAGGGGAAGAAAAAAATAATATATTGACTGTATAAATGTAAACTCATTGTGCCTGATTCAATAAAAACAAATTACAAAAAAAAAAGAGAAACATTTTCTGTATTGGTCTCATAGTCTTCTATTACATATTAGACTCACATTTAATTGCTCTCTATATCAATAAGTGATAACTGTCAGTCAACTGATATAGCTCCAAAATAATATATATATACACTCACCGGCTACATTATTAGGTAGACCTTGATAGTACGTATTTGCATCAGAACTGCCTTAATTCTTCGTGGCATAGACTCAACAAGATGCTGGAAGCCTCCCTCAGAGATTTTGGTCCATATTGACATGATAGCATCACGCAGTTGCTGCAGGTTGGTCGGCTGCACCTCCGTGATGCAAATCTCTCGTTCCACCAAATCCCCCAAGGGGGCTAGTGACTTATCCGACCGGCCCACATCGACCGGCCCACATCGTCCGACCGGCCCACTTCAGTACCGGCCCATCGGGATTCGTCACGAACGTCACGATGGCCAGTCCGCCCCTGCCTAAAAGCATGCAAAGAAAATATCCCCCACACCATTACACCACCACCAGCCAGAACCGTTGATACAAGGCAGGATGGATCCATGCTTTCATGTTGTTTACAACAAATTCTGACACTACCGTCCGAATGTCACAGCAGAAATATTGACTCATCAGACCAGGCAGCATTTTTCCAATCTTCTATTGTCTCATTTTGGTGAGCCCGTTGCAAATTGTAGTCTCAGTTTCCTGTTCTTAGCTGACAGGAGTGGAACCCGGTGTGGTCTTCTGCTGCTGTAGCCCATCGGCTTCAAGGTTCCACGTGTTGTGCATTCAGAGATGGTCATCTGAATACCTTGGCTGTAACTAGTAGTTATTTGAGTGACTGTTGCCTTCTGTCATCGATAACCAGTTTGGCCATTGTCCTCTGACCTCTGGCATCATCAAGGCATTTTCGCCCAGAGAACTGCCACTCATTGGATATTTTCCCATTTTTAGACCATTCTCTGTAAACCCTATAGTGTGCGTGAAAATTCCAGCAGATCAGCAGTTTCTGAAATACTCAGACCAGCCCGTCTGACACCAACAACCATGCCACGTTCAAAGCCACTTAAACCACCTTTCTACCCATTCTGATGCTCTGTTTGAACTTCACCAGGTCGTCTTGACCATGTCTACATGCCTAAATGCATTGAGTTACTGCTATGTGAGTTGCTGGTTAGATATTTGCATTAATGAGCAGGTGAACAGGTGTACCTAATAAAGTGGCCAGTGAATGTATATAAACTTAACACAAAAAGTAAGGAAATGTGTGTTTGGAAGATTATTTCTTTGTTGTAACAATGCTTCTTGGCAATAAATATAATACCGTTGGAAAGCCTGTTTATTTACCTTTCAAATGGTGCCACATTTATGAGGAACATGTATTTGTGGGACAAGCAGCGGACTGAGTATGTGGGTTGCGCCTATGAAAATGTGACAAATCTCGTCCAATCTCCGGTCTCGTAGGGCTGCCAGGAGCCTGCCATGACTGCCCTTCACCATCAGGCCCACTTGCACTGGAACCTCAACATGCGGAGGAACCTTATGTTCAGCGATGAGTCCAGATTCTGTCTACGGCACATGGATCGTCGGGTCACAGTGCGGAGAAGACGCAGAGAATGCTTTGCTGCACCGATAGAGTAGGAGTGGAGAGGATGGCCTGCAGTCCTGACCTCAACCCCATTGAACACTTGTGGGATCAACTTGGCCCTTCTGTCCATGCCAGAGTGACCAACACAACCACGTTGGCTGACTTGGGACAAATGCTGGTTGAAGAATGGGATGCCATCCCACAGCAGAGTGTGAGCAGGCTGGTGACCAGCATGAGGAGGAGAGGCTGTTGTGGCCGTGTATGGCTCTTCCACACGATACTGAGGCTGCTTGTTAAATGAATCAATTGTTAATAAATATATTGTTGCCAATATGTATTGTTTCATCAGACTTCAATCCTCCAATCCACCAAACAAAACCAAACAAGAGTCAACAGCAAAGAAAAGCTGTTTGGCATTGGCAGAGGATATTAGTCACATTTTTCATGGGTGCAACCCATATAGTCAGCTCTGCTTCTCATCTCACAAATGCATGTTCCTCACAAATGTTGGTAAATAAACAGGCTTTCCAACGGTATAAGATGTATTGCCAAGAAGCATTGTTACATCTAAGAAATAATCTACCAAACACAAATGTACTTACTTTTTGTGTTGAGTTTATAATATATAGCTCTCGATAGTTTAATTTTAATCGCAAAAAGGTTGCTCTTGTAAAGGATGGAGGGATTAACAGGTATTCATTATTTAACCTGTCTCTTTATATCCCTCTACAGGCATTTATTCGCCCGTTCAGGGAGCACCACATTGACCCAACCGCCATCACTCGCCATGACTTCATTGAGACCAACGGCGACAACTGTATGATCCCCATCCTACCACTGGCTAACATGGCCTACAAGTTCCTCACATACACACCAGGTAGCACACATCACACACACATAAATAAGACTTGAATACCTCCACTAGCATGTACATCTATGTTCTGTGTGAAAGCTATTCTAACCCTAACTCATTCACATTGTTACTACCTGTGAGTGAAAAGCTCAGGGGCGTACCAGCTGCAGGAGTTCAAGCTATCCCCCAAGATCTCATGAGATCCCTCACCGGTTGCCCACCCACCAACACTTCTAACATGTTTACTTCTAATGCTGGGCGGTATACCGTTTCATACCGAATACCGAGAACTTTATACCGTATGATAGGAATTTCTCATATGCCGCAATACCGTTGAAAAAGTGGCAAAGGGTGGTCGAGCGGGACGGCAGTTCCCTGGGGACTCCTTTCACTGTCGCACCGCTGAAATGCATGCTGAGGTACAGTAGAAAAGCGTAGTAGCATAATATGTGAAGCTGAATGTAAAGATGGACACTGAAGAAAATGAGGCTGGAGATGGAGATACATATGACACACAAGAAGAACTTGCCGTAGAGAAGAGCTTTGTCTGTCGTTTGGAGGTGTTGTTTGAGAGACTGCCTATAGGAAAACGTATAAATGTAAATACATTTCCAATCATTGAAAAATAAATAAATACCTTGATACCGTTATAATTTGGAAAAATACTGTGATGTTAGTTTTTTGTCATATTGCCCAGCCCTATTTACAGCCACACTGCATAAAGCTGTAGTGTGAATCCAAGGACTTTCGAAGGTCATCTCTAAAGGGTCCAACAAAGTGTAGTAGTGACTCAGTGTTGCAGGAGGATAAAGGTAGCATATACTCTGGCTGAAGTGTGTAGTCGTGGGAAGCATGGGGCAGTTTGTGCAGGTAATCATGTGCACTGACCTTACGAGTGCAGGGCGGGATGGGAGTTACGGGAGGAGGAAGATCAGAAGGAGAAGCAGAGCAACCTGTTATTGAGGAGGGGACATTTCCACCTGTCATGTCTGCACTTCAACTCCAGCTGAAAGGTCACTAATGGGTAGAGAGGCGGGAAGTTGACATCAGTTTGTTGGTTCAAAAGTCTGAGCAGCTCACAAGTGTCTTTGATATGCTTTGTCCATCTGGACACATTTCCATTTAATGAAAGAAGGAATTATCTGTCAGGAAAAAGGAAATAAAAGGTGCAAAAAGCATCATAACTCTTCAACAAAGTGAACGACCATGATGATCCCAACTCTGTAGGAAGATTTCATCCATTTCATTTCAACATATTGTAGATGATACAGTTCTATTTCATCAGCGTATTATCTCTGTACATGTTACAATGGAATTATTATTTCAAGTAAAGCATTTATCTTTTGTAATTCAAAGGGAAAACTAGGCACTTACTATGTGGATGTCAGATCAGTGTTGATGATAAAGGTAGTTTATAAAGCAATAAACCCCCCTATGCATGCTTTACTTACTCACATAGTTGTGGCAATATTGCCTTCATGTACCAGGATTCATTTTGTGTGAGATACTAACGCTTAGCCCAACAAAATGTTGTAATCATAATTTACCCAATGGGACTTAAAACAAGTTTAGGACGTTCAGCTTTTTCCCACCTCTAGAGCACACCACCTGGATGTACAGTATGGACTACCCGGAGGAAACTTACCTGAAGTAGTTTTTAGTTTTTCCTTGTCCCATGGTCAAGTCAGCAGGAGAACTCAATACAGTACGCACTAAGGAATTTATGCTTCAGTTGATTACATTTACCACGAACGCTAACTTCACCTCCACATAAAAAATGGCACGTTTCTTATTAAAGGTCACCTATTGTGCAAAATCCACTTGTTCATTTTGAATCAGCTGAAGCGACTTAACTGACTTTTTGGTACACCCTGATAATAGAGAGTTACAATAATCCAGCCTTGAAATAACAAATGCATGGACTAGTTTCTCTGCATCGTTTTGAGGCAAGATATGCCTGATTTTTGCAATGTTACGTAGATGAAAGAAGGCGGTCCTTAAAATTGATTTTATGTGGGCGTTAAAGGATAAATCCTGATCAAATATAACACCAAGATTCCTTACAGTCTCACTGGAGGCCAAATTAATGCCATCCATAGTTAGTATATCTTTAGATAGTTTGTTTCGTAGATTCTTTGGGCCGAGTACAATAACTTCAGTTTTGGCCGTGTTTAACATAAAAAAATGTTAGGTCATCCACGTTTTTAAGTCCTTGAGGCAGTCTTGAATTTTATTTAGATGATTGGTTTCATCAGGCTTGATTGATAAATATAGTTGAGTATCATCCGCATAACCATTTTTAACAACCGTATCACCTGAATCTCCTCCTAGAGCACCATTGTGTTCTTTTTAACCAAATCTCTCTCAGAGGGGCGTGGGGAGGGGCTCCTTATTTTCATCTAAAGTAACAGACAGAGAATCAGCACTTTTGAAACAGGGCTGAAACAGAAGGGATTATGGGATGCTACAATGGTCTGTTTGGTATTTAGAGCCAAACACTTCAGAGACATGTTTTGTATCTAAGACCTATACTATATTGATGAAAAACAATATAATAGGGGACCTTTAAACATGTTTAAAGGCACTTCAGTTTAATTAAAATATTTAGAAAATGTTGGTAGTTTTGCTTTCTCAAACTACCAAGATTTTCTAAATATATGGGGACTTCAGAGCATACTGTAAGTAGAGATGTATTTTTAAGTGTCACATTATCAAAATTATCATTATATACACATTAAATAAAATGAAATAAAAATATGGACATGATTTTATCAACAAGTAGAAGAAAGAAGAGCAAAGGGGAAACTTGCAAAGGTCAGCAACTTGGCCGCAGTAAGGACCTGCGAATGGGGGGAGGGTGGGGTTGAGCGAGAGAAGATTAGAGGGGAGAGGTAGTGAGGTTCACTTGTAGGTGACATCCACACCTGTCATGTCACACACCGCAGGGAGTCAACAGGTTACGAGACGGCGACGCGAGAAACGCAGTGACATCTACACCTGTCATGTCTGCACCTTAAGAGGTCACCGCTAAGAGTTTGAGACAGAGGGTGAGAGTGCACGGAGAAGAAGAGAGGGGAGCGCAGGGGGGGCGGAGGGTCATGTAGCGGTAAGATGACATCCAAACCTGTCATGTCAAGCTCCTCACAGTGTCAGGCGGTCACCAGACAAAGACAAAGACAGAGGTAGAAGGGAGAAGCGGCGAGGTGACATCTCCAGCTGTCATGTCTGCACATGGAGCGCTGTTTGAACCAAAGAGAGGGGACGAGGGATGGAGGCAGACTGGAGAGGACAGCTGTAAGTCAAAGCGACAGAGAGACTCAAGTGAATAACAAGAGTTAGCCGTGTGACAGACAGGCGGTAGTCTTTCATTGTTTTCAGGCAGGAGACAGATGGAAACATTTGACTGTGAGTCCTTTTCCAGGTGTTGGTGGCTCGATTACACAATCCAAATGTTGTTCAAATGAAGAAGACAGTAGCCGCTTTTAAGGACGTTTTCAAGCACTACAGTATATTATATGATGGAGGATTTCTACTCTAAATACAAGCATAAATCAATTGCAATAATTAGCAATTATTATGTGTTATTTATATGTTAATTTTAATAGATGGAGAATCTGAATGCAAGAACCCCTATCCATCAGTACTATAATAAATCATGTTAACTTTCAATACAGAGAATGTACTTCTTGTATTTGCACAATATTATTAATTGATACAAAAAAGTACCTTGCTTACTGTGTGGGGCTCTACTTTATTCCATTTTAAATCATATGGCAAATGGCTGTGATATTCTTATAAACATCCATCAACCCTAAACCCTTTTTAAAGAGCTCCTTGCTTCCAAGCCAATATTTGTCGCGGCCAAACTTTAGAACTTCAACTTCTGTTATAAGTAAACTTCCTAGTATGGAAAAGTGGTTAAATGCGCTACGTTATTTTTGCCTCGTCCTATTTTCCTTCTTTCCTGGGTTTAAGGGCAACATCAGTTTGCTCGCTCAATGGACCAGATCCCCAGATGATGATCCGGGTAATTTATAATTCGCTATTCAAGCCACTTTGGCTTTAGTCGCCATTGAACAACTTTCCTAGAAATGACCGGGAGCCTGCCCCTAACGCTGTATCCATTTATCTTTGTACATCCATCATCAGAACTGTTTAGAAAATTGTCATCTCCTATGTACTCGTCCTGACATGTTTGTCACCTGTCAGCTCACATCAACACCAACACTATCAGCATTAACCACTTCCTGGAAACCAATCTCTTTCCTGAGTTGATTAAATACTTATCTAAGAATGGTGCTTATAGTTCACATTTTTGAAATATTTGAAAACAATAAAGAGATTTACTTGACAGATGTCAACATTTGAATATACCTTCTGTACAACTGGTTTACAGTTTTGAATGGTATCTGGACTTACATTTATATAGTGCCAGTCTAGTCTTCCAACCTCTAGCCCCTTTTTCATTGAGGTTGTTCCGGGGCCGGTGTCGATTGAAAATACATTACTGTGTTCCCCATGTACTGTCTGTTGGCTTTTGGCCCTGAACATTGGTTCAACCCTGGTCCCAACTATATGGTCAGTCCATTACCACCTGGTGAGACAGTCCAACATGGGATTACTACTTTTAAGCGGCTTCTGCCATTTCTGAAACGCTATTTTGGGGTTCAGTATTTGGCAGGAGGACACTTACACATATCACGGACCAGAGCAGCCGTGGATTGAACCCCCAATCCTCTGATAGGTGGCTCTACCTCTTAAAACACAGACTCTTATTGTGAACATATCCTGGCCCTGATGCTGTTTCAAAAGAAAAACCATCACTAAAAGGAGATGCTCCCTCTTTCTCCCTATTCCCCAGCCTCCATCTGAACCCATACTCCACCTTCATCTGAGCATCACATAGAAACACGGCACATATTCTGTCCGCTCCCAGGGCGCCTCTGTAGGAATAATGTGTACAGTAGTTATTTTAGAGCATGACAGTGGGAATGCAGAAGTTGTTTAAATATGTAAAGGTGAGAGTGATGATTCATACTTCCATTTGAACATCAGTAGTTTCTTTCTTGCTCAATAAAGAATGGACAGAATTTCGAGCCTTATTTCCTTGTTTGGTTGCATAAAGGGCTGAACTATCTCACCCCTGAATAAACACCTTAACATTTTCTCTTGATGTCCATAGTGCTAGGATACTTTACAGACACTGCTTACTGCCCCTCCTGATTTTAAACGTTGTCCTCTCCTCGCCTCTCTTCCCCATCCCTCCCTGTTTCCTCCTCCTCCCCTTCGGTCTCTTTATCTCTCTGAGGCTCCCACCAGCATCCTCTCTGAGGGAGTACTACTCCTTCATACTGGCCTTCTTCATTACACAAAACAGTTTGATCAATTATTCTATTAACTTTACTCTCTCTGTTTCTTTCTTTCTCTGTGTAAATGTCTGTCATCACATTTCAGAATCCTTGGCAGCGTCTTATCCCTGGGATTGCTACGTCTTTGCACTGGCAGTTTTCGTGAGACTGACCAATCAGATTCATAAGTGGAGCCATTCGTACTTCGGCCTCCCGTGCTGGGTCACGTTGCTCCAGGACTGGCATTTAGTTTTGCCACGGAAACATCCCTGCATCCACCACGTCTCACCACACGAGACATACTACTGCATTACGACGGGTAAGAACTGCTGTTATCACAACTAGTAAATATTTTGTATGCCACTCAGATAAGAATATGGTTTTACATACTAGAGATTTGAACTACATTACAAAAACAAATATCCCCGGCTGAACTCAAAGCAGATAAACAATGCGCAAGTCAAAATACATAATATAAAAACATAAACATACATTATTTTTGGAAGAGCTGAACAGATTTGTGCGGGGAAAAAAAGTCCTAACTTTAACTTGATGATTTTACTCAATGGACATTTTCCAGACAACTTTCCGGGCTTAATCACAAGTTTGAAGTCTTCTTCAAAATAGCATGGTGTTCATTTTTTAACTTATGGTCCCTTTTAGAGTTAAATAAACAAGAAAGCACCACATGCTTTAGGGTGGGGCTATTTTGTGATTGACAGGTCGTAGCAGTGTGGACCTGTGTTCATCTGGGTGCTCTTAGTTTTTTTGACTTAAAATAATAATCTTTTTTACTTTGTTTACAAATCCTAATCATTTAAAAGTTAAATTTTGCCTAAAAATGTCTTGGTTAGCATTAGATCATAGTTAACTCGGCCCTCCCGTCCTCTTGTTGTAATTTCTGGTTCAAAATAACCAAGACTGTGAAAAGAGATAAAAGTCAAGGAAAGTAATAGCACATTGATATTAAGAATAAATCATATAACAATCTATCATATCATAAAAATTATACTGGCTGGATAAGGATAATGTTACCTTGATACTATATGATAAACTTGATTGGTAAAGCCACATTTGAGGGACAATACTTACATAGCCTACTCGTAAACGTTACAAACATATTGTGAGTCTACCCCTACACTGGAGAACCTGTGAAAAACATTGGATTAAAATAAATCGAAAGTGTGTTATGCGACTTTTACTATCAGCTGTGTGTATTTTGTGGTCGGCCATTTTAGATCCCCATAATTGAAGCTGATGACTGCAGAATCATTTAATTTAACAATTCTCTGCAGATTTGGACAAAATGGCTGCCATGTCTGTCTGTCTCTGGGCTTCATATAAATAACTAAAAGAAAAATGTTCTGTTTGCGTGCGCGTGTGTCTTCGGAGACACGAGGCCTCAGTAGTAGATCCACATTCAGTATTCTGTGTGCATCTGGGTGAGGGGGAGAGAAAAGAGGGAGGATACACAGGGGAGAGTCAGCTTGTACGTCACCCTGCGCCCCTGCGGACGACAGATGTGTGGGTGAGCGAGTCGAGGGGGGGTGTCACAGGGAGAGTGTGTGTTTGTACACGCGCACACATCTGCATACTTTAGCATCTGTGTGTGTACTAGTCTCTTTGACCTCCTCTTCGGTTTCTAACCTGTGTGTGTGTGTGGTTGGAGCTGGGTTGGTATCGGTTGGGGGCCCACAGGGGACCGCGGAGGCCCCCCGCTCCCCCAGCCTGGCTGCCTTAGATTCCGCTGGGGCTCGCCTCGCTGCCTTTGTGTGCGCCACCGGCTGACAATCTCCATGTATATTTAATGCTAACCTGCTGTCTGTTCTAACAAATAGGACTTCACAGGCAGAGGGGGGATGGAGGACAGGGGAGGGAGGGAGGGTAGAGAGCGGAGCGGGAGGGCGACAAGAGGGTGGGTAGGAAGCAGGGAATTGGAGGGGAAAAAAAGTGTGTGGCGAAAGAAGGAGAAATGAAGAAGGAGGGATGGAGGGAAAGAGAGAAATCAAACAAAACCTCTGGCTGCTTTACGGCTTTACCGTCTTCCAGCCGAGAGAGGGTCACTGGAGGGACACACACACACACACACACACACACACACACACACACACACACACACACACACACACACACACACACACACACACACACACACACACACCCACACACCCACATCCCCGCAGCTATAGCATGCACCCTATGCAAACACATCATGGGTGGTAGTGTGTGAGCACCAGACAAGGGTAACCTAAGTACACACAGCTAGCGTGGATGTCTCTATTTGCATCTTCCCAGTGTGTGTCTGTTTTTTTAATTAATTCTGCATATATGTGCTTATGTTAGTGAAGTGTGCGTGGGCTGACAAGACTAAAACATGAACATGTATTGTGTCTACATATGAATAGTAAAAAGGACTTTTATGTCTTAAATATAAGTGTTGGCTGCCTCTGAAGCAGGTGTATGTTTGTTTGTGTGTGTGTGTGTGTGTGTGTGTGTGTGTGTGTGTGTGTGTGTGTGTGTGTGTGTGTGTGTGTGTGTGTGTGTGTGTGTGTGTGTGTGTGTGTGTGTGCGTGTGTTTGTTTGTGTGGGTGTGTGTATGTGTATGTGTCTGTGTGCATCTGCCAGTTTATGTGTGTGTGTGTGTTTGGCAGTATGTATGTACACAAGCTGTTGTACAGTCATGAATGCATGCATGTGTACATGTAAATGTACTTTGGCCTGCAGCCATACATACATTAATGTATTTACTTTAAACATACAGTACATATAAATATATATATAAAGCTATTGCAATCCTGAAAACCTAACACAGAACAAAGAATCCTGAAATGTGTGTTTGTTTGTGTGAGCATGATTGTGTGTGTTTGTGTTAGTAGGGGCTAAGGACATCTCCTGGGACAACCCCCTCACCCCCCCTCCTCACTGCTTGTGATGATAAAAGTGGGATACGGGGTTAGATGTAGATAGGAGGGTAGAGAATTGGGGAGGAGAGAAAGATTATAATAGAGAGAGGAGGAAGTTAAAGCTAGATTAAGAGGTTTAGTATGAAACTCTCTGGTGCTAAAATGTCTAAACTACTAAACATTTTTGTTGAGTTCTGTCCCAACATAATTCGCCACATTTTCCCACATTTTTCAACCTCAGAGGAATCTGTCATTTTAGAGGTTGATATCATTTAGTTGCCTGGAATGGTAAAGTATCCCCTTTGGCACCAGAGTCAGTGTTGTCTGTCAGAAGATGTCATAAATGGCATATTTGTCAAGTTTTAAGACACATTTTTTCTTTAAACTTCTCAGATCTTAGTTGTTTAACTATATAGTTTACCTTGGTCAAGGATTGTACCTATCAGAAGGTTGGATCTCAAGTTATCAGAGAAACAAGCTGAGTAAAAGTGAACTGTAGCCGAACATCATTGGAAAAACAAAGACCTTTTAAAAAAAAAAAGACCTTTCACCAGTTTGATTAACCTCTGTGGATAATTTGGCTAGTATGGCGTAAAACAAGTCATGAGAAACAAACTGCAGTGACAGCAATGCTAACAATAACTTCCACACCTTTTTGTTGTTATTTAACCGATAAAACCCTTGCTGCAGAAACTACAAATTGTGCATTTAAGGACAGAAAAGTGAAATATGAGGCAAAGTAAAGAGAGAAAAAGAGTAAAAGAGACACCAGGAAATTTTGTCCAGGATGTTTGTAGGGAAAATATTGAGGTTGGATTTAGGATGGATGGAAACAGGTTCGCGCTGTGAATCAAATATCTCTGAGAATATTGACTGATCCGTCAGAGACAATCAGGTTATTCCATAAAATGTAGTTGAAGAGTGAATAATTGAGCCATTAAATGTGTATTATGTTTGCTTAATTTATTGGCTAAGTGCTTTTCAACTTGCTCTTTTGGCGATTTGTGTCAGTCCATAAATCAGGGGTAGGGAACCTTTTTCCTCTCAAGGGCCATTACAATTTTTACAACATCCTCCGGGGGCCGTACAAATTATTGAACTCAACCTCTGCTTAAAAAAACTAAAATCACAGCCCATTCATTTCGCCTTTCTTTCATGCTGTGCAAAGAAAAAGCAACCTCTTAATCCAGATATCTTACCATGACCCCAGGGAGATTTTCTTTTTTTATGTTGAAGTTAAAAGCATCAATCTGGTGCAGTTTGAGAGCAAAATTAAGAGATCTATGGATACATCTCTCAACATCCATATGAATCAGAACTGTAAGCAGATTTTCTTTTTCTTTATGGATATTTTACTAATCATTCTTTTGCGGTCTAGATTTCCTAGAATTTTTTTGTGTTTATAAATTACCTCGAGGGCCGTATCAAATGGTTTCGCGGACCGTATACGGCCCAGAGGCCGGAGGTTCCCCACCCTTGCCATAAATGAACCACTTTATTCCAGACTCAGTGTTCCTTCCTTAGCTTTTTTTTGTAGTTCTCTCCCCATTTCAACTTCCTCCCTCTATTATCCTACATCCATTTTCTGTCTCTTTCTTCATGTTTCCTCACATCCCAGGTTGGTGCAACTTTCCACTGGACCAGCTGGGCTTTTGGAGACGGATGGAGCAACTGATCAGAGGACTCACAGGCCACAGACCGAGATCAGATGATCTGGCGTGGGCCCAGAAGACCGACAGATAAAGACGGGGATGGAGGTGGGAAAAAACACACACACACATTTAGCTCATGCTTCTTTTTAAGAGCAAACATTCAAAGAAAGTTTTGCAGGAAACATCAAAGATGGATGAGAAAACTACTGTATGTGCTGGAGTGTGTAGTGTAACAAGCTTTCAACATATGAGGTGATTATAGCTCTGTGGCAGAGCGAATCAGCTTGTAGTCCTGTTTATCCAATGAGGTGTAGGGGAATTCTGGAGGTTGGGCTCTCCAGGAGTGACAACCACACACGTTTGATTCCTTGTCTGGTTTTTGTCCGTTTTAGAAAAATCTCTCCTGGCTGTTTCTTTTCACACGGGAAGGTGAAACTGATGATTGTGTGCGTTAGATGAAACATTTTGTGCCTGTGCTTGATGATCTCCACAGGCAAGATATGACTTTGGAAGGATTAACATGAAAAACAATACATAAAATACATACAGTAGCTTCCTTCAAAATGTACAGCCATATTATAAATATCTTACTCACACAAAAAAATCAGGTTGTCCAGTTTTGGTTAGTTTTATACATTACTGTCTTTTCAAATTGTAATACTTTTCTTATGCCAACATCTCTCATTGGTCTTTCGCTACAGCACGCAGCAGGTCAGTTTTTTCTTGTAGCTTTAGGAATACACTTCTCAAAAGTTCTACGCTGTACAAAGCTTTATCATAGAAATATGTACTGCATAAAACTAGGGCTGCACAATTTGGAGAAAATGACTAATTTTGACTGATATTGTATTTACGATATGATTCACAATATTGAAGGGAATTATCATGTCTTAATGACAAGTCTGTAATCAGTGATCTGTACCAAACAATTATCCTTTGTTAAGTCTGTATAATAACATTTTTATGCTGAGATATCTCTGTAGCACCACACAGCTTCAATCAAAATGGGATTTTAAAGCATATATAGCTTTTAAAATATATTGTGATGACTGCGATTTGAATATTGAAATACTGTAGTAAATTTGGTGATTTTGATAAAATGTTGATAATTCTCCAGCCCTTATAAAAACTAATAAGTAACCCAGGTGATCTTGTAACTCTTGCTTTAGGAGGTTAACGCCTTCCAGGCTCTATCTAAAGGTAGAACATCTACTTACAGCAGGGGTGTCAAACTCAATTTAATCTCGGGCCACATTAGCATCATGGTTGCACTCAAAGGGCCAGTTTTATATACAAGAATATAAAAAATACATATATAAAAATGTAATATATATAAAATAATGTATTATATTACATTATTGCCTCTGCATTGGAATATTATCTGATAGGGTAATAACTTAATAAGTCTCTTCAGTGAGAATGTCACAAAATGATTTAAAAAGAAAAGCCAAATTCTGGAATAAAAGTCAAAAAAAATAAATGACATTTTGAAAAAAAAGTCAGATTCTGAGAAAAAGGCAAATTCTAAGAAAAATGAATATTTGAAGAAAAAAAGTCAAATTCTGAGAAACAAGTCAAATTTGAGAGGCATTGTGCCACTAGTTTATGGGCAACGTGCTTCTGTCATGTAACCGTATAATAAACATATTATATTCTTTGCAAGCTCTTGTGGGCCACATAAAATGAAGTCACGGGCCGGATTTGGCCCCCGGGCCTTGAGTTTGACACCCCTGACTTACAGCATCTTTAAAGCCTCCGCTTCAGCGAACACTCATGAGAATAGTATCAGTCATTTCATCTCACCGTCAGCCAGAAAGTGAATGTGCTTTAATGTTTTATTCTAACATTCAACTAAATACAAAAAATCTGGCATGAAAGATTGGATGACAGGTTGATGTTCTTATTTATCCCAAGTCTCTTGTCTCCATTTTAACATAAAGTGGCACAGACAGAAGCAACACTTTGTTGGCATCAGTGGCTTCTTTTTCTGTATTCATGCAGCGCCTGCAGACAGAAATCTATCCCGCAGAAGTTCCCTTTCTTGGAGGATGCTTTTGGCTGCCCCAAAGGCAATCACACAAATCCTACATGTGTAGTTAAGGTTAGCGTTTCACCTCCAAACGGGCTGGCTCAGGGCAGGAAAGTTACCATGTTATAACTCAATATCTAGAAAAGCTCAACCAAGGCTTAGGCACTTCCTAATCATTCAAAATCTTAGGAAAAGCTTGAAAACCCTTTTGGTATTTATTTTCTCGACAAACCACATTTGCAGTCTTTCATAAGCATATTATTATTTAAACATTTTTGAAATGTTGATTCATTGCTGCTTTCATATTTTCAATACTCTCGTAGAACAGACAAATAAATCTCATCAGCAGTTCAGCAACATGCTTATTGATGCCCCGCTGTGCTGCGTATTTGACTGCAACTGTAAATACTAAACACGACAACAACAAGAAATGTGTCACAAAAACTGAAATCAGAGAGATTTATTCAAGAAATGCATGGCAACGTTTTTACATCAAGTTGTGGCAGCAAATGGGAAAGGAAGAGGAGAAATTGCACTGGAGAAAAAAATATTATTTAACAAAACTGATAAGCTTATAAAATTCTAACAGCATCTCTGACTTTGTTTATATTTCACACGATGACACACACACTTACGTTGGCTGTTATAACTCTGTACTCCGGACTCTATCTGTTTGACTTGTAGCTTATTTATAGGCTGGAAATCCCTTTATTCACAGAAGTGTGAATACCAACAGCACTTTTATTGTTTTAATGAGCAAAATGTTTCAAATGCATCCTTCAAGCTTTTGTTCACTCAAGGGTTTTCTCTGGCTTTTTCATTTCTATTTTTTTCTTAACGGATCAAGCCTTGTACAGGTACATTTTGACATTCCATTTCGTAACAGAACGCTCGCTGCTCGTCTTGCCTTAATGTTTATATCTGCACTTTGATTTAAATAAAGGGTTATGAACTCATTTGTTTGGTCATATTTGATACAAAACATAATGTTAAGAGATCATTTACTAAGAACATGTAGTTTGCAGGGGGATTGAATGGTTTCAGTATTTTTAATGCTGTTTGAAAGACTTCTACTTTAGTGCACAAGAGGCCTGTTAATCCAATATGTACCAACGAAATGGGGACATGAGCAAACGATTTTTTCTTAATCCTAAAATCTTTTGATTTTAAGGTTAATGCAGTGCCTGGCTCAAAGGTTTAAATCTAGAGAGATAGATCACCCTGTAGATAAAAGCCACTGCTGCACCACCAGCGCCCTCTAGTGTAGGTTTGCTGTTCCTACACTTGTATTCTTCTTCTCCCTGTCAGAAATACATTTGGATGGATGCAGAGGTCAAAAGGTCACCACGTTCTGCTCTACATCCTGCCACGTGACCTCCAGATCGGTTCAGTGAGTCTCACCATCACGCCCCCCCCACCAACCCCCAGGAAGCAGAGCCCCTGTTGGGATACAGCTGCTGCAGCGGCCCCTCTGGAGCCTGCTGAGAGCCGGGGGCCAGAGAGGGAGGAGAGCAGGGGAAGTAATTAGAAGAGAGAGGAGGCAAGGACAGGTGAGGGGGAAAGGGGGGAGACACGTGATTTAAACACGACAGATATCAATTTGATATTCGTTTTTTAGAAGGAAGGTCAATCAAATCAAATCAAATCAGGTTTTATTTATAAAGCACATTTAAAAGCGATTTTTGGTCGAGCCAAAGTGCTGTACATGTAATAAAAAACACATTACTACAAAACACAATAAACAGATATAACTTAAAAAACAAAATAAGAATAAAACACACGGAAAAATCAGGAGTCGTGCTCCGCTCTAACTAGAAAGCCAGAGAGAAGAAGTGTGTTTTTAGTTTTGATTTAAAAACCCCTAGGGTCTGGGCCGACCTTACATGGAGGGGCAGAGTGTTCCAGAGCCTAGGGCCAGCTGCTGCGAATGTTTGAGTTTAGCAACAAAAGCAGTCCAATAAATCCATAACCAGTACTGAGTGATAGGCCTACTACAGAGGGAGAATGCAGGATTGTCAGTTGATTTTCATAGCTGCTGTCAATAGATGTAAGCTGGATCAACTTAAAAATAAAAATAACTTCAGTTCCATTTGCTGCCTTACACTAAGCCAGTGGTTCTCAAACTTTTTCTGTCAGGCCCCCCCTTTGGAGAAAAAATAAAGTCGGGCCCCCCCAACACAAATAGTCAGGCTCAGTGGCGGCGCCAGAGATTTATTTTGGGGGTGCTGTGGGGTGGCTTGACGTTTCATAGAGGGTGCTCAAACATTTAGGATTTCCCATTAATGTACCGGTCGCTACAGTGGAATTTTCTACTGCAACACTCCCCACGCAAATACACAATGTACCCGCGACTGTTACAATGAAGGCTCGATAATCAGCTCACGGCATATAGGTGTAAGCAGTGGTAAAGTGCTATTTTTATAGGTGGTGTGTGGACCTCACATAGGGGGGTCCGGGGGCATGCTCCCCGGGAAGATTTATTTTTAAATATTGAAGTTAAATGCATCAATCTGGTGCACTTTGAGAGCAAAATTAAGAGATCTATGGATACCTCTCTCAACACCCATATGAAACAGAACTGTCAACAGATTTACTTTTTCTTTATGGATATTTTACAAATCACCCTTTTAAACTTTATTCTTGTTTTACTGTCATATAGTATTTCATACCTGTTTTTCATTTATTCTCTTATTTTTTTATAACTATAATGATCATATAAACGTGTGCCTCGGAAATAATTGTTTACATTAATGGTGACCAAAACGTTTGAGACCCACTGAGATAACACTGAGAGAGTCCTTTAGCTCACTGAGTCTCTCAGTCTGACAGGAGAGGATTCTCCTCCACTTTGTTGTTGAAAAAACTCCTTATATCCGTTAGCGTAGCTCGCTAGCACCAGAAGCTAACAACAACGATCTCCGGTACCGGTGCGCTCTCTCTCTCTCGCTCGCGCACGCACACAAAATGGCTCGTTCCACACACACACAGAGCCGAGCTTTAAAGAAACACAGAGACCCAGACGTAATAGTACTGTACTGTATCATATTATTTTCGAATCAATAATTTTTCAAATTAT